TCAAAAGTTTGCCTTAAGAAAAGCTGAAGGTGTACCAAGCATCTGTGAACCTGACCATGGCATTTTCTTAAATCGCTTTCCTTGGCGTGTGTCTGGAACTTGTTGTCATTGTCTTTCAGGAAAGATACCCAAACAGCAGTGTGTTCAATGAGGTATATGGGAAAAACCTGACAACCAGCTCCAAAGCCGAGCTCAGTCCCGCAATGGCCCCCCAGGAGACATCCCTGTACTCTCTGTTTGAAGGGACTCCGTGGTCCCCATCACTTCCTGCCAGTTCAGGTATTGAGTAGTCTTTAAATAATAGACCTTGCATTACCGATAAACTCAAATTGATTAGAGTTAGTATGATTTTGTAATTATAAATATATTGAGTTGATTTTTTTTTTTTAAAGTAACTTCTAAAAGAAAATAGAAAAAAAGCCTGATGCACCAGTTTACATAACAAATGCCACTAAAAAAGCTTCTCCCATCCTCAGTAACCAGCAGAGGTGTAAGGGAGAAAAATATGGATTCTGTCTTAAGGATTTCAGCTAGTTTGTGTTTTGCGGTTTTTTTTAGTTTTGTTTGTAGATATTCATTCTTTGCAGGAAAAATTGCAGTTTTTTAAGTAGAGATTTTTTAATTTCTATTTTATAAATGGAGTCTGCCTTAAGAGTAATTCTTAAGGTTAGGCAATTCTGTTTCTCATGTAGAAGACCAGTGGATACTTAACTGAAAGAGGTATGCCACATTAGTGTGTGCACTCGACAGAATTGGCTACTGCTTTGTTTCGCTCTGTTTTGTTCTAGGGCAAGGAATGTGCCTAGATATGTTCAGTGAAACAAGTTTGTGCATCTAGCAGAGTCCTTTTTGGGGCCCCAAAGCCCTCTGGTTATTTTTAGTAGAATTTAAGTGATCAGATCTACAGGAGACTTTAGTTGTTGACATGTTTGTGAAACAACTTATTTGATGTTCTGTTTTGCTATTATTTAATAGATCATTCAACACCAGCCAGCCAGTCTCCTCATTCCTCTAACCCAAGCAGCCTACCAAGCTCCCCTCCAACACACAACCATAATTCTGTTCCATTCTCCAACTTTGGACCTATTGGGGCTCCAGATAACAGGGATAGGAGAGCTGCAGATCGGTGGAAAACGGATAAGCCAGGTGAGACCCAAACTTCACAAAAGTGAAATAACTTAATCTGTCTTTCCCTGGCTTTGGGCATTTGGCAATGATAAAACATCATTTTAAATTCTTACCTCTCTTCATTCCTTAGCCATGGGTGGGTTTGGCATTGATTATCTCTCAGCAACATCACCCTCTGAGAGCAGTTGGCATCAGACCAGCACTCCAAGTGGCACCTGGACAGGCCACGGCCCCTCCGTGGAGGATTCCTCTGCTGTCCTCATGGAGAGCCTAAAGGTGAGTGGATTTCAGGAACAAGAACCACAAGTGCTGTCTCTGCTTTCATTCACATGAATAGCTAGGTTTATTTTTACGGCCCGTAGACTCGATTAATTAATAGCACACACTAGCAGAGTTCTCAAAACATGGCCTGCCTTGTAGGATTCTTGAATGGGCTTTTTGTTTTTAATTTGTGAATTCACTAGTGATAGAGCATTATCTTCAGGGGGCCAAAACACAAAGGTCCTAGTTACATTCTGAGGTTAAGAAAATCCTGGTGCGTCTTGGAGTGTTTGAGTTAAGCCTTTTCTGAACAAGTAAAAGGACATCTAATAGTAATACTCTGTGGTCACACATGGAGCTTAGTTTTAGTAAAAAGATTCATATAAAATGTACTTTCACCTTTTCTGATCTAAAATGATCTTAATGCAAACTAACTAGTCTTGAAGACAGTCTTTCTAATAGCTGGATTTTTTTAGGGGGTGGGGATCTTGGGATATTGTGCCTTTATATTTGGCTGGGATTGAAAAATCAATCCCTTCAGGCAACCAGGCATTTGCACTCTGCTGACCATCTCTGGGCTGTTTTTCAGTCGATCTGGTCCAGTTCCATGATGCATCCTGGCCCTTCGGCTCTGGAGCAGCTGTTGATGCAGCAGAAGCAGAAGCAGCAGCGGGGACAAGGCACCATGAACCCTCCACACTGAGGCCAGGGTGTACCCTGGTAGTGAAAGCTCCATACACCATGGCATGTTGGGTTTGCAGGCCTGGCCCACAGCCCCTGCAGGTGGCAGCCCTCTTTTCTGTTTCTTGCCGTCGAGAGGGTGTAAGTGTCCACCAGCCCGCTGAGTGTGCACGAAATGTCCGCAGTGCAACAAAAAGAAAACCATCAGGAACTCTCCGTCCCCCCGGGGCCTCCTGGAGGGGGAGAGAGAGGAGCTGCCGTTTGTCTCACTCAGTTACCTGATAGCACCGCCTCTCGCCTTCTCCATCGTGCATGTCCCCAGCCACATGGGAAGTGAAAGCTGAGAAGGGAAGGCAGGCGGGAGAAGCCAATGGGAACTTCTCAGTCCTTTTTTCCTCTTTGGGGAATAAAATAGGAATCCATTAATGATTGCTTTGCTGACTGAGAATGTAGTTGAAATTATTCCTGAACATCTTTTATTATTGTTATTACTCTCAGTAGTAAAAAGTCACACTGAATTCTTCCATACACAGATGTGCTTCTTCTAGTCAGTGTGTAGCAGGGAGAGCCCCGCTCACTGCTCCTTGGGTTGTTGGTGACAGGATGGGGAAGCAGACCTCTTTGGCCAGTGGCAGTGTTCCGTAGGGGAGAGTACAAGGCCTCACCTTAATGCAGAAGGTTCCGGTAGGCCCTCCTCTGGCCTGGAGACTCCAGCAGGAAATGCCCTTCACTCTGTAGGTGCTCGAGCCCCACTCGAGGGTGCAGTGTGGGTGATGGTGCTGGGCTGGACCAGCAGGTGGCTGCTGTAGGATTTTCAATGAACGTTTTGATTCCTGTACATTTTGCAGTAGCAGAGCAAGCAGTCTCAGAAGGCGGGCGAGTCCATTCGTGGCCTGACGTTGTACTAGGTAGAAGCTTTCAGTGTGGTTATTTTTTGTTTGGTTGGCTTTTGTGCCCCTATCCTACTTACCACCCGCTCCTTCCATCCCTACCTCCGTCCCCTTCTACCCTATGCTATGTGCTAGTCATTGTTTTTATTCCTAATATGTACAACATCGCACCAAGAGGCAACAGCATGGGGTCCAGCAGCTGGGGCCCAAAAGACAGTCTGAAGAGGAAGGAAGCAGCGGTGTCTGCGTAGCCTGGGGGCCAGACCCTCACCCAGCCACAGTCTCCCAGCCTCCACCTTCAGAGCGAAACTCAAGGCACCATGGACACACGTGCGTCAGCACAGAAGGAAACACAACGAAGCCCATTCTGGAAGAGGTGGAAGAAAGGAAAATGTACTTTTATTTGCTATTTATTAGAAGGAAAGAGGACTGAAAATTTTCTCGGGTAGAAACAGAAGGACAGCATTTCTGTTAGTCATTTCCTGGAAAAGTAATATTTTAAGGGGAAATTATGGAAACAATCTACATGCCCAATTGCTGTGCTAGTGGTAGGGTTTATTTTCTGGGAGGTCTCCTTTGTGTGCACGTGTGAGTGTATGTGCACACGCACACCCATCTGCTCGGAGGGGAGGGGCAGTGTGTTGAATGTGTGGAGTTGATGTGGGACTTTAGAGCTGGAAGATGGCTGCAGAGCAAAGCACATCTTAGAGCGCCAGAGTCACTGGAGGCAGCCCCAGCAGTGAGAAGGAGTGGGGCTAATGCTCATTTCTCTTCAGAGAGAGGGGTTGGAGTCCCATGTGCTTACATTATTGCTCTTAGTTTGACACGGTGTTTGGGTTTTTTGGTTTTGGTTTTGGTTTTTTTTGGGAAGGTCTGAAAGGGTGAAGCCCCCTCCCCCCCCATGGCAATATGAAACCCTTTGTGCTTCTCTCCCACCTCTTCCCTATGTCCACCCTTCTTTAGTCCTCCCTCCCAGGCCTCCTCCCTGCTGCCTTTCCCCAGTTTGTGTGTTTGAGCCCCACATCAGGCAGCTGCAACATTCCAGTGTGAACCGTCACTGATTCTTGCACCTAGACCAGCCCACCAGGTTCGCCGTCTCGCTCCCAGGAGCCCACATCCCCTCTGCAGCCCCATTTCTGCATGAGCATTTTGTTTGGAATGTTTTCTGACTCGGGGCGGATTACTCACCTTACCATCCTCAGTGTGGAGTAATGAGGAGAGGGAGAGAATCTTCATCAGAAACTGGTTTTGTGTAGTAAACTTTCTTTTGTGTTTTGTTTTTTGTTTTGTTTGGGGTTTTTTTGTTTTGGTCTGTCTGTGCAAGACCTGCAGCTGCTGAAATCAGCTTTGCCTTTAATTAAACCATGTTCTCTCCAACCAGATCTGTGTACAGATGGTTTCTTTTCTACCCTAAAAGAAAATCCAACTTACAGAGCAAGACTTGGGAACAAGTCAGAAGTCATCTAGGAGAAAGCAGAGGTGGTCAGAAATTGAATATACTTCAGGGTTACTTTGGCTTTTATAGCATTCCAAACCATATGCATTAGTACGGAAAGGGGCAGGTAGCAGGAAGCTATCAGACTCTGTTCTTTAGTAAGTAAAGAATGCTCATGCAAAGGAGTTAGCACATCCACCATTATCCCTACTTTCTCTGTTAGGAATGCACTTGCCTAAGTCAGAGAGAGCTTACCCTTTTGGCCTATAAAATTCACTAAGTCTGATTGGCAGCAACAGTAGTAACTGTTCTCAACTCTGGGGTTGCATTTCTGGGCCTTCCTCCTAGGTGCTGGGCCTTCCTCCTAGGTGTTGATTCAGTCTATACCTCACCTGCACACTTGAAAAACTTAACAAAGCCCTATAAACTCACAAGAAAGAAGGCAGGGTGGGGGGTTCTGTTTAAGCAACGAGACTTAAAGAAAGTTAATTTTTTGTGTGTGCCTCCTGAATGACCTGTACGGTTAGCTCAGGCCCCAGGAGTCTGATAGTAGTGTACAGAAATAGAGGTACTGACGCTTAAGCCTTGGGCCTGCACGCTGGGTGTTTTGGGTTTTTATTTTTATCACACATACAGAGAAGTGCACTGGTATCTGTGCAACCCAGTGAGTTTCTCACAAAGTGAGCACGTCTGGGCAGCCAGGAGGAAACATCACCCTGGGAGACCCCCTCATGCCTTCCAGACACTTCCAACCACTACCCCACCCCAAAGTGTTCATAATCCTAAATTCTCACATTGTTTAATAGGTTGAATTTTAACAGGGAAAAGTAGATTAGCAAACACTTCCAAACCATAATGGTCTCGGCACCGTGCACCGCAGAGGCGTCCTAAATCTTACAAACGAGATGGTAGTTTTTTCCTTTGATGTCGTAGGTTGTGAGATGTCCTAGACTCCTCTGGGCGTGCTGTCCATGTCTGCAGCTGTGAGTTCTTCAACAAAAGCCTTGGGGAAAATGCCGATCTTCCCTTTGCACTCCCCTTCCAGCCATTCGTCGTTCACTGATGGAAGGGAAAGTAGAGACCGTGACCTCGGCTGGGTGTTCCACACAGACCGTTCCTCGGTGCGCCTCCACCCCTCGCTGTGCTAAGGGAACGGTCACTGTTGGAAAGTGATTCGAGGCAAGAGTGGACATAGGACTTAGCCATCCTGTGGACACCTGTGCCTTTGACATGATAATGGAGCAGTGAAATGCAGAAGAATTAGACTTTTCAAAAGGGGAAATAGATGAAATTGAACAAGGGTCGTTAGGTACCATTTTTTAATGCGTTTTATCTGAGCTTTGCTGGGAATCTTTGTTTTGACTACAGGAAAGGGACATGCCGTTGGTTAAGTATATTGCTAGTGAATGTTCACTAGTAGATGGTTAAAGAACTGAGAGTTGCAGCTCGTGAGGGTTCAATCCATGTTTATAAAAGAAGGATTTTAAAAGCCCCTNTATATTGCTAGTGAATGTTCACTAGTAGATGGTTAAAGAACTGAGAGTTGCAGCTCGTGAGGGTTCAATCCATGTTTATAAAAGAAGGATTTTGAGCCTGTAATAAATGCAGGCACTGTACAAGGTTGTATATACTCAGACTTCATAATAACGCAGTTGTAGATATTACCATTTTACTAAGGAAAAAGACCCAGAGATTTAAAAGGGCTTGTTTGGGTTCATTCTGCCAATAAATATCAGACAGGTTAGGTGTGATCGCCAAAGCCCACCCACCAGGCCACACAGCCAGCTCAGAAATTCGTCTTTGGGTGTAATACATCCAGATCAGACATTAGGCCCTGGCTCTTGGATCCTATCCCAGAAACTGTTTTAATGATGTGAGGTGTGGCTGGGCATCAGAATGTTTTCTCAGATTCCCCCAAGGTAATTCTAATTGCAGTCCACTGTCTCGATCTTTCCTGTTTATAGCACAAGTCATGGACTGGGAGCATTGGCTTGTCCTGGATCCTGAGAGTGTATTAGAAATGCAAAATCTCAGGCCCTACCCCAAACCTGAGTGGGAATCCATTTTAACAAGATCCCAGGTAATTCACATTAAAGCTTGAGGAACTTGGTGAATGAAACCATCTCATAACTGTTGAATACAGTTAAACTCACCCCCAGCACCACCCAGTGTTTATGCTGAATTCTGTTTTCTATTTAAATGTTACGATAGTTTTAAAATATATGGGAACTTCCAGAATTAAACCAACTTAGACTTGTACATATCACAGTAACAACTACATCCCCTTCTCTCGATATCTACCCAGAAAGTTTTTCTATGTGCTCTGTTTTTATGTCATCCCCACCTCCAAAAAAGCTCTGGACAGTTTAGCTGGTTGGTTGATAGTAACACTTAGAAGATGGTACAGGGAGTTACTAAACCCAGTTTTTGCCATTGAATTTCCGTTCTTCCTGTAGGAAGATACGCACTGTTAATTGCCACGCACTTGTATACTCACGCTTCACCTCATTAACTGCAAAATACCCTGCTCTCATTTCTTAATCTGATGGGTTTTCTGTTACAGTTGATAATAGTATTAGTTTTTTGGTTTTTTGCATTGCTAATGCACATTTCAGCCATCTGAACAAAGCTGTTGATAGGACTCATTTGCTTCCAGTTAGAGAACTCGGTGTAGTCAGTAGACAAGCATCACTGGAAGCTTGTTAGAAACACAGATCTGTGGGTCCCATCCCAGACTTGACTCAGCATCTCTGGGAGCTGGGCCAAGGAATTTTAACAAACTCGCCAAAGGACGCTTGGGTACACTGGTTTACGAAGCACTAAGAACTCCCCACTTGCTGTTCCCATTTTTAATGTTTGATTCCTACCAGAATCAAGAAAGTCACCAGAGACACAGAGTAAGTCTAAATAGCTGCTTTTAAGACAAAATTGACCCCCTTCTACTCTTGTCTTCAAAAGTACATATATCCAAAGAACTATGGCTTGCAGAAGATAGGTGTTGTATGGCGTGGTGCAAAGGCAAAATGATGCCCACCACTTCCCAATTTGTCAACTCTGGGAATGAGAATCCATGGCTTCTAAATCGGAGCCACCTTTGTACTGAAATGTTACTTAAATTGCCATTTGCTCCTTCCCTGCCTGTCAGAGCAACAAACAAAAAGGCCGAGTGCTCAGTTTTGCTCCCTCCACCTGAAAGGGAAGGAAATTGAAACCACTGGCTCAAGTTTCGTTTGTAGGTTAGTGATGTTTTCTACTCTCTGCCCTTGAATTTATTTCTGCTAACATGTAAATTAATTTCTGTAATCCAGGAGTAGCACTTACCCATGGATACAACCTGGATCACGTCCCCTTCCAGAAACTCTAGGTCTTCTGGTTGGGTAGCCTCGTAACTGAAAAGGGCTACCACTTGCCTGCCCTCCTTAAGCTGAGGTTCTAATGTCTGGCTCTTAGCATCAGATTTTTCACTTTCCTTGGGTTCCTCTGGAAAGCCTTGGTCACCCTGAAATAATAAAAGGCCCATTAGTTTTCCTTACTTCCTGGACAGTGAACAGTGAACATCACTAAAGGATTCAGTTGGTAAAATATCAGTGTAGCACCTGGAAATAAACTCATAAAGGCAGGTTTGGGATCAGTGTCTAAGCATAGACCTAATAGATGGTTGGGTAAATGAAGCTAAAGTTCTGCAGGACCATATGTAGTCGTCAAATCTTACCAAAAACTTCATAATCCTAAAAAGGTAGAGTAGATACTATTGTTACTTCTTTTCAAATGGAGAAACAGGTTGAGTCACCAGTAAGTTATAGAATGCAAAGTCAAACCTAGGTGTCTAACTGAGTCCAACACCCTTTCCCCTGCACTCACCACCTGGGGACCTTGGAGAAATGCAAAGTTTCAGCTCCATCCCAAACCCATTAAATCAGAAACCCTGTGGGTGGGGCCCAGGGATCTGTTTAAACAAGCCCTCTAGGTAATTCTGGTACTTGCTAAAGTTTGAGAACCACTGCATGGTGCCATACTATCCAAGGCCATGAGCATTATGCTCATTTTTGTCCCACAGATGTTGAGGAAGGATGCAGTTTCTAGAGATGTGAATCATAGGATTTAAGGAATCAACATTAGAAACTCTGCAAGGCTCAATGCTGTACTGAGTGTTAAAAGTTCTCATTTCCTAGTGCTATTGGCTCCAAAGACTAGGTTTGTATCCCAGCCCCACTGCTTATCAGCAGTGTAACCTCTCTGAACCTGTGTCCCCGCCTGAGATTGAGGCTAGAAGAATGAAAGGAGTGCTCGGTAGACGTTGAATTGTTGAAGAAGTGGCCTGATAGGAACATGACCCAGGGAAGCATGACCCTTGGGCTCCCTGCGCTCACCACTGTGTTCTCGCACCACAGAGTCAGGCAGTAGTTTTTTGCTTGGCCCCAGGCATCCTTCATGCTGTCTTCTGAAAGGGGCACCAGCTCATGACTGTCCCTGGGCCGATAGCTGGGTGGAGATGAGTGAGAACCAAGTCAGAGCGCATCAGTGCAAAGCCATCCTCCTCTTCTGTCCTCTAGACCAGCCCCAGGTCCCCAGCTGTCCCCTAACTGCCACCTGCATGGAGCTCACCTCAGCTTAGTGTGTTCCGGCAGGAGCTGCAGTTTCTTAGACACCATGTCCCGGACCTGGCTGTAGGGGAGTCCGGGCTGAGTCTCCATGGCCACCGTGTACTTGTAGTGCACCTTGAGCGTGTAGAGCATGGGAACGCTGAGCTTTATTTCCTGAGGGGAGACAAAGCAAAGGGAACTCATGAGTGTCTGCGGCTTCCTCTTGGCAACCTCCTGGCTCACCACAGCTTTACTGGTAGCATAGGGAGAGGCCACAAGTAACTGCTTTCAGTAAGTAAGCTGAAGGGTCTTTGGAGGTCTTCTAGCCCAACTCTTGCTTGGATAGGGGTTCCTACTGAGTGAGATCTGGACTACCAGCTATAAGCCAGTAGGAGATGTGTGCATGGAGGTGGGGTTGGGGTGGGGGGTTGTTGAGGGGTCCCTAGCACATGAATGTGAGTATGGTGGCAACTGGTCTACCCTTTCTTTGGGACTCTCTCTATAATCCAGGGAGACAATCCCCTGGTGGACAGCCCAAGCTCTCCCAGTCTCTCCCACTTGGAATAGCACCAGGGAAAAGTGTTACCTTGGACTCTTCTTCTTTCTGACCTAAATGGAGAAGGTAAGGGGTGAAAAAAGATGAATGAACTCTCTTGACCAGCCCCTTTCATACACAGAACGAAACCTCTCAGGACACCCAATTCCACACCCTTTCATCTCTGGGGGAACTGTTAACCTTAACATGGGGAAAATCTCTCTCTGGGGACTGTGAAGAAGGGAGCCATGAACGCACCGAGGAAGCCAGTCTCTGCTTCTAGGGAGCTGTGGGTAGTTACCAAAGGACTGCCCACCCTCACCAACCCACAGGGTCAGCAGGGACCCCGAAGGTCAGTTACACCAGTGGCTCCAAAGCAAAGACAAACAGGGAACGTGAGAGGAGCCAGGGGCCACAAGAACAAATGTTAGAACCACTTTTACCTTTCCTTTATGTTTGTGTCTGTCTTTCATGTGTATAATATATTGATTTAGCAATATGCATGTCATTTATATAAGAGAAGTATACATAAATATATGACGGGATTCATGGTTAATAAAAAGACCACTGATCTCAAACCAAGCTTGATCATTAAAATCACTTGGGAAATTATTTCTAGAAATACAGATTCCTAAATCTAATCCCAGTCCTAAAAAATCAGAATCAAAGGCCTAGGTATTTATACTCTTAAATCTTCCTAGATTAATAGGTGATCCCTGAGGGACCCCTAGACAGACAGAAAAACCAACAAGAAAGCTAGCAAGGATGTTTTGGAGGGTAATCGGAGAAATTTGAATATGCGATATACATATAATGTATATAATATTAGTTAATTCTCCTGGCTATAGCAGTTGTATTGGGGCTATGCAGAAGAATGATCTTGTTCTTAGGAGGTACCTGTTGCGGTGTGGGGTGAAGTGTCATGAATCTAAATGGCTCAGATAAAAGAAATTACATAGAGAGAGGAGTGGGGCAAATACATGGGGTAAAATGTTAACAGTTGGTGAACTTAGGTAAAAGGTATTCTAGTGTTTTTTGTACCATACTTTCAACTTTTCTGTGGCTTTGACATTTTTCTAAATAAACATGGGTGTGGGAAGCATCCCAGGGGATCCTGAGGATCTGGTGAGCGTGATGATCACTGATCTAGAATCTGGACAAACCACCTATTCATTGCATCTCTACGAAACACTCAGAATCTGCTCAAACTGCACTAGTGACAAAGAGCCCATTACTCCCTGAGGCAGCGCTCTCCACGCATCAGGAGCATCTCCCTTTCATGTCTGCCCCTTGGTTCTTTGTCCCTGAGGGCTCCGCAGAACAGTTTCTTTTCCAGATAATAGAACACCTCAGACCTTTGAAAAGAGCCACTCAGCCCCCTTCTGAGGTAACTGCAGTTACTTCAGCTGTTCCTTCTGGGACTTGGTTTCAGTATTGAGTGAGGGGTTTGGTGACAACTTGAGTTGGGACACTCACTGCCCCCCAGAAATCAGCCACATTTACCCAAGCCCATGTGTGTTCTGCTGCAGGTAAGAAGAAGGACTCTCTTTCTGGTGTTGTGGGTGGGTGGGTGGCTGGCTGGCTGATGCAGGAGAGACGGGCTCTGGGGCTGAGTGGTCACAAGCTGAGTGGCATGTTGAGAGGAAAAGAAACCAGAATATCCTGCAAGCAGCCTGGAGCACTCCTTCACCCAGGCCCGGGATGCTGTTCCAGGGACACTAACCTGGTGACAGTGACAGCTGGGGTGCTCCAGGAGCACTGGAACTGGGCGGAGCTGGAATATCAGACTCCAGGGAGTCTTCCTCCTGGAGGTGACAGGAACAGATGGTGAGAACCTTCATCCTGACAAGTTCTTAGGCAAGAGCAGGAATAGGGGGGCAGGCTGGGGGCAGATCCCCAGGGAAAAGAGCCAGATGCAAACGACTTCCTAAAGGTTGGAGTGCTGGTGACATTCAGGGGAGATGAAGGTAGGGGTTAAAAGGGAGGCAGGGTGGGCCTGGTGACTAAGAATCCAACCCCCTCCTAAAGGGCCTCCCCTTGCCTCATTTAAAGCTTTCCAAGTCATCTGGATGCCATGATTCCAACCACGGGAGACCAAGCCCACAGAGGACAACTGTCACTCTCTCTCTCTCTC